CACAGACAGAATATTTTTCTATACTACTGAAGAGTTGTTTCCTCTACCTCCCAATTCACTCAGAATTAAGAAGCCTGGAATTAAATGTGGAAAATCAATGCCTTTGTACCAAAATACGTAAAAAGCCAAAGGAAGAGGAGGAGAATGGAATGGAGTGGCTTCAGCATTTCTCCCCAGTGAATTGGGGGAGACAAGCCCAAACTTCATTACAGTCTTAGCTTTCCTGCTTTTACCACGTGAGTATGAAATACTCTTACATCCTGTACATTAGTGTAACTGGTAATCCCTCTCCTATCTCAGTTGTTCTGATTGAAGCTCTTGAATCTCTCTGGTTTCTCCTTCTCTCCATCATCATCTCTTGAAAGACAGCTGTAACATCCTTTTTCACATTCTGTGCTCTGCACTCTACTTCTGGCTGCTCAAGTGCTACAGTATTAAATTATTTTGCAGCCAGGAGGTTAAAGTAGTAATAGGAGACTAAGATGGCATCCAAAATGGCATATATGTATGATATATGGATCACTGATGGCACAGTTTGGATTTTAGAAGAAGACCACATATGCACATATTTTTACTTAGATTGGGCCATCCCTTAAGAGCTGTTACACACCTTTCTGGCCCAGCAGTAGGGAATGCATTCTCTTTGGCATCTTTTATTAGCTTCTTGTTTAACTGGGAGATAGCAGCCTGCTATCTGCAGTCAAGAGGGAAACTGCCATCTTGGCTGCAGATTTAGAAGGAGAACAAGAGAAGCGAAGTGATGAGGGGAATGAAATGGAATGGCAAAGACAGCAGGGGCAGGAGGGGACAATATTTTTTAAAAAGAAGACTTCTCCTGACCCAACACAGATGATCGGGAAAGCACTTGATTGGCAGCTGATTGGGCTACAAGGGAGTTCAAATCGGAGGAGCATACCAAATGCCATATCATTCTTCCCCACCCACCTACACACACACCTCAGCAAGCCCTTTGTAGCCTGATCCAGACCACACCAAAATGGCCAGTCTGGACAGGACCTGAGAACTCTGTTTTAGCAGCCAAAAGATTTCAACCATTGCCACCTAAATAGTGTATCTGGGGATGTTAGCAGGTGGGTTGTTTTCTGCAATGTTCCTCTCTTTGCACAGTGCTGTGCAAATACAAATTTTATGATTACATGACATAAAACAATTGGTTCCATCAAAAGTTAACTGTTGCTGGGGTAAAGAAGTTAGTCAAGTGGACTTTCTATCATCTTTTCATTTGGAAAGTTTTAAAATATTGGTAAAAATCCTGCTGGGATCTTATGCTAGCATAGCATGAATTGTATAACTTTTGGAGGTGAATTGTGTAATGTTAAGAATTATGCATAGAATGTATCTGTTGCATGCTGAGCCACACGACTCACTGTGGAACACATAATATCTACAGTGATTTCTTAACAAGGCTGTTGGCTCTGAATGTGTCCCATTGCCTATGTGCAGCTCATCCCTTTACTACAGGAGTCTCATGGTCGGCTATATGTAATAAGGTCATTGATTTGAGGTTAACGTGTAGCTCTTTCTCTGGGATTTTATAAAAATGTTTGTTCTTTTTCTTTCATGAAATGCTAACGTTTGATCCAGCACGTCCCAGAAATAATGCACTGGAGTCAAGGGAGTTCTTATCTTTTTATGCCAGTGTAAATAAGACCACACAATTTGCTCGGATGTTTTGCGTTATACCAATTATTTACATCTGCCCTACAGTGCCAGGTTTTGCTCCCAGTACCACCTGTGTCCATAACTGTCTGGTCTTCTGACAGCCATGGCTGTCTTCCAAAATTTGCACCTGTGTAAATTGCCCCAGCTCCTCTTGCCCTTGAGGGTAAGAACATGAGGGCAAAAACCTCAACACCACAACATGCAACTCACATTTTTAAATGCCATTTCCCTTTCCTCCACCCCAAGGGAGAGATGTTCTGTAAGTGTTGTTTTCTATCCCGAGGAAAAGCAGTGTTGTCAGACAACTGGACCAAGTCCTTTTTTGTTTGGCACACAGCTTTCCAAAGCACGAGGCAACTTTGAGAAAAAGACCACCACTGAAAAGAGGAAGGCGATGCGCTGAATGTGCTTCCGCATGCGGCTTGTGTTGTTCAAATCACCCGGTCTCACCCCTAAACTTTCACAAGGCATTCAGAGGGGTGTTTCATATCTGCACTGCTCCCATATTTTCCAACCATTTCTTCTGCCTTACTTCTTACTGTGAAAAATCCACTGAAGAGAAAGATGTGGGCTGGGGGGGGGGTGGGCTTGTGTTCTGAGCAGCCAGGAGGTTGCCCCATCATCATTTTGGGGTGAAGCACCCATCCCTGCTCAAACAGTTGGTCCACTCCAAGGAAGGTACAATGGCTATCTTTTGCTCAGTAGTCCTAGGAAGCACCCTTTTGTGCCAGGCAGCTCAGTCTCCTGGGAGCCTGCTCTATGTCTACCAATGTATGTGGAGGATAGGGCATCCTGATGGATCATCCCCATGAAACCACAGTTTCCCAGCATTATTTTCAGGTAAATAATTATGATTCTATGATCTCAGAGCACTCTGTTCTACCAGGAACATATCACCAAATTTACATCCTTCACCCAAGTGTTCTTTTGATTTACTCTAGAGGGTACCACAGGAATGACTCTTTGTTGTCCTCTTCTTATTTGCCTCCTGGGGTGCGGGGAGGGGAGTCATGCAACAACACCCGGAGAAGCACAAGACTACGTGCACAAATCTCTTCCTTCCTGAAAATGGGCTTCCTACAGTTGAAGGCCAATCCAGATTGATCCTGGTGAGTGAAGCAGAATCAAGTGCTTAATAATCCCACTAAAACAAAGTGGGACTTGATTGGCAATTTCAACTTGGTTGTGTTCAGCATTTTGAGAGTTGGGATTGAAGTGTAAAGAAACATTATGAAGAACCCAAAGGCCTGCTTTGTTCAGTTTTCTTGGTAGTGTCCCATCAACTTAGAGCAAGTAATTTCCATCCATGGGAAAAGCACCTCTAGAACTGTGAAATGTGAAAATTGGTAAATGACGAGTTGTGACGTGTCTCGAGGATGTGTGGTGATGGTCGGGCACAAATCCTATACAGAGGCAACCCCAGCATATGGCATGTTGTTACAACTAAATAACTGGCAAAATCACAAACACACTTTTTATGTGCTTTGGTGTGTAAAGTACAGCTTTAATTCACAAAGAAGTCAAACCTGACTGAGCTCCATTTCCTACCTATCTTAGCATATACCACTACCAGTCACCCAAACCTTCTGGAAGCACCTCTTCCTCACAATAGGCCGTTTATGAGTCATTATGGAATTGATTCCTGAAGGGTCAGTGCCACTTGTCCCAGCTGTGCTGATCTGTGTTTGTTCAAGTTGCAAGGTCAAAGTAAATTTATTTAAAGCTACCACTTTCAAATGTTGGTTATAAATGTTACTTTTAAAGGCTTTTGTTTCCACGCTTCCTCCTCACTCATTAAAAGTTATGGTTTGTGTTGTGTAAACTCTTCTAATAAATGAAAAAATAAACAACAACAAAATAATTCCAGGTTTCCCCTGCTAACTGCAGAGGGGATGACAGGAGAGGATGTGGAAGGCAACCGCCCCCCACCCCTTTTTCTTTACAAACCAGCACTGTATAACTTTGGTGACAAACCAATGAAATGATATGTCATTTACCAATAAATGAAATAAATAAATAAATACACCTTTCTTCTGCTCCTGCAATGTGTATGTGGGGAGGGGGGAGGGAAGGAGACAGATGGACATATCTTCTCTTCAATTCTCTTCTTCCTTTCCAGCATGGAGGCTGAGAGGGAGGAACAGGCTAAACAGGGTCACTCTGAGGTGCAGTGGGGCTTCCTGTCCCACAACCACTCAATCTTTGTGCGTGGATGAAAGGACTGTTCCAAATTTCAGACAGCACTCTCAAGCACTGCTGTTTAGCCCAATCCAGCCTGGAATAACTTCACTGTCCAGACACACCCTCAGTTGATTAATAAAGAGGTCTAATAGGTTCTGGAGGAGAGCAGGTTGTCACAGACCAAGAAACATTATGGTCTTCCAGGATGTGTAGAAGCTAATCCAAAGAGATTTATTTACTTGCACCAGCAATGGCAGGATTGGTCCAAGATGATTGTGCTGCTAGAGGCATGCCAGCAAATGGCACCCTTTCCCATATGTCAAACACACTGTATATGGTACCAAAGCTTATTAATTCAGCACATGAGGTGGATCTCACAAACACCACTCCTACAGGAATAGTACAGTTAAAAAAGGGAAGGATTTGTGTGTGTTTTTTTTTTCAGGACATCCCAAAATCTACTGCTTGAAGCAGATGCCTTACTCTGCCTAATGGTAGTGCCAGCCCTGGGCAATTACTAGTTCTTCATCGAGTTTGAATATAATCAGATTCCAAACTCCCATCTACCCAAATGCAGACTGTGGAAGCTGCCCACACTTCATCTAGTCACTCATATTGTTACCTTTAGAAATATGGGGAGAAGAGGCCATTAGCAAGTCAAGCCAGTTATGGAGATTTGCTTCTGAGTATTGCCGCAATTATTTATGCGACTGATAAGAGTAGCTCAGACTGTATCACAGAGTCAAAAAGACACACTTACAAGACACACTTGGGCCTTATGCTTTAGCTTGGCATCCCAGATTCACAGAACCAGCTGTGTAGAAAGGGGAAGGATGTCATTTCATTGCAAAGAAATGGTTTGATGCTGATCCAATCAGTGGGAAGCATTCTGATGTCAGAGGTTTTTTTTCAGATAAGAGTTGAACATGTTATTAGCGTCCAAAAACTTACTTTGGAAACCACATACACCTCCTTGGAAAACCTACATGCGTCTTCCTTTTTTTTCCCCCTCGCAAAGTCCTTGAGGTCTCAGGGCACTCCTAAAATATTCCCACTAACCCACCCACTCTGTCACTCAGCTGCCCTTTATAAAGCTGCTGCAAAAATTGTAGGGAATCTATCCAAGGATTCACAGTCCAGCAGAAAGGGAGGCACAACAGAGGAAGAGCAGAGAAAGGATCAAATTTCAGGTCCTGCTGTAGCCACTAAGAAAGGCTCACCATGTTCCAGGAGACACATGGCAACATCCTGAGGTTTGTGCTCTTTGCAGTGTGTGGCTGGAAGGCAGCTTCTGCTTTTCCCAATGCCTCACCCCTGCTCAACCCCGACTGGGGAAACACAGATAGCCTGCTGCACTTGTACACCTCCACAGCAAGAAATAGTTTCCACCTGCAAATTAACTCCAATGGACATGTGGATGGAAGCCCTTATCAAACCGTTTACAGTAAGTACCTTGGGATGGGGTTGGGGCAGAACATGGTAAAGCTGTATGAGCTGAAGATCACACAGAGGAGGCCTCTCCTGTAACATCAAGGAACCAGAGTATTCATGCAGGACTCACAGGCATTTCCAAGTAGTTATTTCCGCAAGTGTGCATTTAACTTGTGGAATTTGTTGCCACACAATACAGTGATTTCTGGGGGGCAGGTAGCCTGTGTTAGTCCATTGCAGTAAAAGGAGCAAACCTTGTGGCACCTTAAAGACTGCCACATTTATTGTGACTTAATCTTAGTACTGCAGAGCTGGAAGGGACCCTATGGATCATCCTGTCAGGAAGGCACAATGGGGAATTGAACTTCCAATCTCTGGCTCCGCAGCCAGAGACCTAAACCACTAAGCTATCCATCAATTATACATTCTGGGATTAGAGTCTACTTCATCAGATGGCATGAAATTTTTATCCCGAGTTCACAGGTATACATCCATGGCTGGAAAGAGAAGATGCAGGGTTACTGAGAAATGAAATACAAGCAGCAGTGAGAGCTCTGAATACTAAATACGTGGAACAGACAGGATGTTTGTAGTCTTCATTTCCTGCTTGAGTTCTATTAGAAATATTTTTTTTATAATAATTGCATTATCAGCTCCTTATAACTTGCATTTTATAGAGTCTGTCTGGAAGGCATTCTAATATTGTCATCTATTCATTGTTTTATGGATTGTTAATACTTTAGAATCATCCTTCTAAGGGCAGGCAGATCTATTATGGAGAGATCTTGTCTATATTTTGCTGTTGATGCATAATTTTGAAAATTTTGCATCATAGCATTGAGAATGATTCTTGTGATTTCCCAACTAAGATGTGATCTCGATGGTCTCTTGCATCATGTCACTTTGATTCCATAGGAGGAAGATCACCCAGAATTAATATTATCCTGTGGAATAAAAGAGTGTGAGGAATGTTTTCTGGCCACTATCACACACAGGGAAACTAGAATCTTTCTTTCATACTTGGCAATCATGCATTTATATGGGCCTAAGGGCAGTGTTGGATACCCAGTGTGGTGCAGTTTCTAGATTGATGGATCAGGAGTCACGAGGCCTGGGTTTGAAGCACTGCTCAGACATGGAAACCCATTGAGGGTGAGGAACTGGTAAAACCACTCCGTAAATATCTCACCTTAAAAGCCCAATTAGGATTATTATAAGTCTGTTCCAACTTAACAGCACATAACAAGGGTAGTGCTTACCTTGGGCCAAACTTTACATTATAGTTAACCTGTCATTTTATGTCTGAAAAATTGAACCTAGAAAGGCAGAGTGTGAAGATCAATTACAAAACAAAACTCAGAAAATTGTGGGAGGTGAGAGAGAAACTGTTCCTGTAACAATCATGCACAATCAACTGTAAAGGGATTCCTTATTCTTCTGCTGACTTGCCTGTGATGGGCCCCCACAAACTCAAAGGGACTGAATGCTAAACTTTCACCTGTGTAATGGCCCAGTAATTACAAACCAACCCCTGCTCCTTTGCACAATGCTGTCTTGGTCATTCCTGTGTGTTGGAAAATAGGGTTTCGAAGAATGGTGTAGAGATTGTTAGAATGCCAATGCTGATTAAAACAATTGGATGTGGTGAGAAAATTAAAGATGATTTCACATCAGAAGTTTAATTTCGGCATGTGGCGTGCAATGTTCCAATAATATTCACACAAATGTTTGCTGGAGGGAAATTCACATGAGAGATGCACTCAGAATTAACTAGAAAATGTCCTCATCTCAAATCTAAATAAAGTGTCATCCAAAAAGTTTTGACAGGATGGAATTTAGGTAAATCAGAAAGCTATTTGCATGTAGTTCTACTTTTATTTGACACACTGATCATTGTGCATTGTATAATTAAATTAGGAAGAATGATTCAGATATTCAGCTAAATTGGCTCAAACAACACATTTCATGAGGCATACCCTGTTTTCCCCAAAATAAGACCTAACTTGAATAAGCCCTAGTAGGATTTTTCAGGATGCTCTTAATATAAGCCCTACCCTAGAAATAATCCCCAGTTAAGTGAAACCCCGCCCTCCACTATTGTGCAGCAAAAGAAGATGACGTGACAATATTTGAATAAATGTAGATTGTTGTGCACGAGAAAATAAAACATCCCCTGAAAATATGCCCTAATGCTTTTTTGGAGCATACATTAATATAAGACCTGGTCTTATTTTTGGGAAAACATGGGTATATCTCATTGCTCCCTCACAACTGCAAACTAAGCACTCCATGAAGAAACCTAGGGCCTGAAGAGCCTTAGTATTGCATTTTCATATCTAAAAATATCAATTAAAAACATGAGTAGAGAATTTGTACCTTTAAAGACCATACATTTAGTCCTATTTGTGATTATTTGCACAATTATTTGCACTATTTGGAAATGGTCTGAAGTTTGCAAGCATAGTTAATTTTGAACATCCACTGTGGATACAAATATATATTACTGGATGTATTCTTGAAGTTGTGAGAATGGCAGCTTGATGAAAATGTATAGCACAGTTATAAAACTAATGCATTTGCAATGTAAATATAATTAATGTTTCTTCCAGAGAAGGAATAAAGTGTATACCATGCATAACAGAGCTTCTTCCTATCTGCTTTTGATTTTAGAGATTCAATGAAGACTTTTCCCCCATAGAAAGCTGAAGGGAGCTTAAATGGGGAATTGTCTGGTGTACATACTTTCGGGGTTAGCCTCAGTTACTCATATTTTGATAATGCATTTAAACTTATAAAAGCAATTTGATGGATAGCAACTGTGAAACCAGAAGTGTGTGTGCATATTATAGCTGCAGGGTAGTGCAGCTATGTGATGGTGCAGGAGAGCAAATCAACATTCCACAAGGCAATACTAAAAATGGGGGGCCGCATAGACTAAAATTACAACTTTGAAATGACTTCAGATCAGCATCAAATTTGGCACAAATATTGCAGAGAACTGCTCTTGCTCTGTGTCAGATTTGGAAAAGTTCTCTCCCTACTCCACTCCCTCCACCATTTTCCTCACCAATATTGTATTTTCTGGTCAGTTCTGTATTGTCATTACATGAGTATGGTAGGATAGAGTCGGTTTGTCCATTTTTGCTCTAATGAGAATTCAGGCTTTATTTGACTGAGCACTTTTCTGCCTTTCTTTGGCAGTAAGGCTTTCCTCCAACACCACATTCACAAAATGATACCAAGCAAGAGAAAATCCCAGAGGCTGATTCCTTTTTTCATTGGTTAACCATTTCTCACCTAAATGCAAAGCAACTGTCATGGCAGTTTTTTGACAAATAGGAATGGTATTGAGCACAAGAGGATATCCTGCAGACCATCTTGACGCTGCCATTGGTATTGTCAACATTCAAGTTGCCCTTTTCTATATCAAGTTTGGCATCCTTTTTCCTGCTTGAAATGTGGACATGATATTGTGAAACGTATCGGCCATTTCCTGGCATTTTGAATCATGGATACAGAAGCACATTCATAAACTGGACGTTTTTAAAAGAATTGAACTGTATACCAAATGACCTCAAAATAATTTTAAGTTTCTTAAAAACATCATTTTAATTATTTCCCTAGAGTTCTCTGGCCTCTTCCCTGGTCAGCACAGAAAGTATATAACTATTATCTTTTGTGATCTACGACTTGTTCATATAGCTTAAGATTGCAACTAGTATGTTATCCACCACAATGTATAGCTTGTGATCCACAAAAACCTTTCCCTACATAATGCAGGCATACAAGCTGATCTTATACAGTTTGGGGTTTTGATTCTTTCTACCGAAATGCAAGACTTCACATTATTTCTTTTGGATTCATCTTTAACAGTGCTTCTATTTTTGACTGAATGGACAGCTTCAACCTTTTTCTAAATTTTTGGGACATTCTGTTCTTCAGATAGCACCTTGGGGGGACTAGAGGTTTGTTTGGGGACATAAACCAACTCCCTAATTAGTAATGAAATTACTTAGTAGCATTTAGCATTATGAATTTCACTTTTTGGAACCATGAATATTCAGGTATAGTATTACATATAAATATTAGCACGTGTCATTCAAATTTCAAAATAGCTTTTAAAAATGCTACTGTGTCTATTTCTTATGTACTAAAAAGTCTTCATAATGGAACAGGGAAAAGTATTTTGCCATAACTTGACTAATATTTGATAAGGCTGTTGGGTGGACAGATTGTGTCTGGATCTGGCTTAACTGCCACCAATGTATCATCTATGGCTGAAAATGTTAAAGCATCTCTTAATATTCAATAATTTCATTTCTAGGTGCCTTAATGATCAAGTCTGAAGGTGCTGGTTATGTGGTGATAAACGGTGTGAAGAGTGGACGCTACCTTTGCATGGATATGAATGGGAATATATTTGGATCAGTAAGTCTTTATATACATAGACAACTACTTGGCATCTTTTTCTCATGTAGCAAAACAATTAAATCACTTCTACCATGAGGTGTGATTGTATAGCCTAGGAGGTGCAGTAAACAGGTTTTACTATTTTCCAAGAAGTCACTATTCACAACCCTTTAATGTAGTTGTTGGTGTCCCTTTTTTCATGCCCCTGTGGCTCTTACAAGACGATAAGATTGATGTAGGATATTCCACACACTAACACCTTCTTTCTGACTGTTCATCATGCTAAGAACATAAGATGGATGTAGAACTTACTCCTTTAAGTTGTTTAATATATATTCAAAATCATAATAGTACGTGTTTTGTTAGACGTTCAAGCTGTCAGCTTGGATTTGCCTTAAAAGGATTTCAGCAATAAGATGAATACTACCTGAATAGTATTTATACATCCCACCACTATAAAACACAAAGGTTACTACTGTGCAAAAGGTCTAACTTTCCAGAGTATACATGTAACCACTAAATACACCACACATCTGTATTGATCTCCAAACAGTGAGCAGAATTTAATGACTTTCCTGCTTCTGTATTCCTAGTTTCAATCCCAATTAGTTTGTTTTGGTGATTGTCTTTCTGTGGAGAATGTGGAATTTTGTAGATAATTACTCCTTGCCAAAAAAAACAACAAACCTAAACCAAACCTACTAAAAAAAAAAAAAAAAAAAAAACCTAAACCAAACCTATGAAGGTCTGGAATACTTCTAAGAATGAAGAGATCCTGAGTAAGAATAGGAATGAGACCTAATAATTAAGTGCTTTAAAGTAATTGGGGTCTGTTATTGTGGCAGGCATCACATACCTCACAAGCTGTCATCTCTCTCAAAAACAAACAAACATTGTAGTCAACAAAGCAGTTATACAAACTGAGTAACTTTGCATGGTAAACTGCTGTAAATTAAGGAATCTCTATATACTTTATCTGTGTGCAACAGGTAATGTCTATGGTGATTTCTTAACAGGTGATGTCTGCAGATAATGTGATTTCTTAACTGTTATACTTTCATAAGTTATGCCATTCATGTAACTTCACAACAGGTTTTCAGCTGCTGTATGATACCCACTTGGTGTTGTGAAATATACATAAGCTACTACTGCGAAGGATTCAGTATTATAAAATAAAATAAAATAATTGTAGCAGGCATTTGATAAATGTCTGAGAAAGATTTATCACCAAAGTTGGCAGTTGAGAATCTTGACAAATAATTTTAGTATTCAAACTTGTCTTGTTTGTGTTTGTTTTCTTCAGCATCACTTCAGTTATGACGACTGCACATTCAGACACTGGACCCTTGAAAATGGCTATGATGTTTACCAATCTCCCAAATACAACTATCTTGTTAGCCTTGGAAAAGCTAAACAACCGCTGTTTCCCAGTATGAATCCCCCACCTTACTCCCAGTTCTTGGCCAGAAGGAATGAAATCCCTTTATTTCAATTCAACACACCCAAACCTCGCAGGCATACCAGAGATGTTAATGCTGATCCCTGCGGTAGTATCATATCATCAGGAAGTGTCTCTAAAGAACACCTTAATTCTCAACTGTACATATATCGTAGTTTGGGAAGTTCCAACACAGAAGACAGAGACCCAAACAGTGTGATTCTCCATGGAAGATTTCCAAGTCCTAGGACAAATAAGTGAACCTGAACCAAAATTCTAAAAACCATGTGGTTTCTGACCTAGCCAGGACATAACCTGAACCTTAAGACATAACCGTAAACCTAAAGTGTAATAGAACTTAAAATAATTTTTACAGTTCAGAACCAGGGGTTAACAAAAAATATTTATTTTAAAACTGTGTACACTCAACCAGAAAGAACGATGAGCACATTTGATCAGCTATATGTAAGGATTTCATATATTGTCATCTACCCAAGCATTCAGTCGTGGGCCTATTTTAAAATTCTAATTCATAGGAACCTGCTGGGAGACAGTAGAAGTCTATGTCGTGGAGAGTGCTTTTCCCATGTTACAATACTCACTGCCTCTCTGGCTGGTAAAGTTGATGGAAATTTCTCTTTTTAATTTTTGATTTCACTGTGCCTCCAGTCTAACAAAGTGCTCTCGGAACTCTTCAAAATCAGATAAAATCCAACAGGCTAGCTGTTTGGGAAAAGGAGAGTGGAGATCTAAGTCAGTCTCCTCTTCCTTCAGTAATGAACTGGCATGGCAAGTGTGGTTTTTGAAGAGTAGCTACGTGCATAGACCCTTGGTATCTGGACTGGGCTAAAGAATCCAATTCCCAGCACCTGTTTGCACATATAGTTCTGCATCTAGCTAGGGGTGCTATATGGCTGCTGCTGGATCAGAACATTGTTTCTTAAATGAGTTCCATTTCAATTAGACAGCATGCTCCCAACATTGGAGGGGGGGGCATTACCATCTCTCAGTGCCTACCTGAGAACGTGAGTTCCAGAAAGTAGAAAGACTGAATTTGGCGGCATAGATATGTATTATGTATTAACATGGGAATGACCTAGTATTCGTTTAAGTTTTATGTGCTTCATAAACAATTACATTTTTCATTATCAAATAGTAATCCATTCTCCTTTTACTCTAAGTATTTTGAAATGGCAAGTGGAAAAACAAGTCTAGAATATAATAGGAGTCTTGAGAGGTTTCTCTAGCCTGTGTTAGTAACAGGGTCATTCACTTTGGCTTTTTCTTGCACTGAAATTTTGAACAGGTTAGATTTCATTAGGAGAGAGCATCAGCTGATGAGAAAATGTACTTTTCTTAGGACTGGAGTGTTGTTCACTTCAATCATCTTTTATGTGATGGGGAGGGGATTAGAGATATGCAGAGAAATGCTATGCATATTTACTTAGAAATCAGTTCCACTGCGTTCAATGGAGGTTACTGCCTGTTAAGTGTATGTAAAAGGCTCAGTTTTATGGATAGATTTTAGTTTCCCTCAACGGAACTAGTTTCTAAGTAAAATGTGGGGGAGAGTATAGTGTCAATTAAATAAATTACAAGGTTTTCTTTCTCACTACTGCTATCAGGTTTTATGACAGAATTGTTGATATATCCCTGTCATGAACTCATATTTCATCCAATAATAAGTTTACAGGTTCCTTCAACTGCTAGAAAACCCACCCAAGACACCTCTGAAAGAGGTCCAATGAGAATGATATGTGTTCAGTAGCCATGGAACGCTGATGTTTTGTGGGAACTTAAAAATGGCTTTACTACTCAATTGTTCAAAAGGGGGCACTCAGCGGTGGCAGCTAACAGGAATGTGGTTTAATGTATTTTATTAAATTTTGTATTTATTTATTTATTTCAATTATGTACACATTTCAGAAGTATTTATGGCTATTTATAATAATTATGTATCTTTCTCCCCTTCCCATGACTTTTCACAACAAAGACAAAAATAAACTTTTTATTTTTCTCAGGAATTTTTTTTACTGTGATTCAAATCTTTATCCAACACACAAGAAAATACAATATTTGAAAGTAGCCATTTATTGTCTAAGTCTTAGACAGACTTTTTCTTCCTCAAGAGGGGAGATACCACAGCCTCTCTCAAAGAGTTGGAATGACGCCCTCTCTCAGTGAAGCATTATTCACCTCTGCCAATACTCAACCAGTGCCTTTTTCTGACCAACAGAAATACCATGTATTATTGCCTTGTTTCCATGATCTCAGGTTGAACATCACCCATGATCTAATGTTGCGCAAATGGAAATACCTCTAGAAATATCCACTCCAAACCCCATTCTAGAAGACTTCCAGTCAAAACACATACAACATACATGTTTTCAGTGGTACAAGTTGAAGAAGTATCTGAAATTAAAAAAGGAAACAAACTATTTTCTGTCCTAAAAGTAGCTTCTTGCCCACAACACAAGTTACACATAAGGACAATCAAGTGCTGAGGCATACCCATTTCTTTCAGAACAACCCATAGTTTCTCATGATCAAGAGAAACAGTCAAGAGCTTTGCTGTAGTCAATGAAACATAGACTTATCTTTTTCTAAAACTCTTTGGTGCACCCCAGTAGCAGGTGGATATTTTCAATATGATCTCAAGTGCCTCTTCCTTTTTTAAATCCAGCTTGAACATATCTAGCAGGAGTAGCATGCTCCCCTTAATGCCTGTGGCCTCTGTACAGTGAACATATCTATCATCTCAATCTTTGCTCGTAAATGAAAAGCTAACTAAACTTGGGTTTAGTCTAAATACTTGGTTAACATTTTCTTCAATCACCAGAGTTCTCTGCCAGATGAGATCTGCTAGAACTGTGAATAGCAGTGACATTTTCTGACCTTGGATTTAATTTCTATCTGTGGATTTCTAAAGCATCAGACGTCTGGGATTTAGGCCACTTTGCCATGTCAGCACCTCCACTAGTATACGGTTTTGCCTCACTGGACTGAAACCTCGTTTTGGTTCTGATCCAAAACAGAGCCTCATTTTGGGAAAACCAGCACTCTTCATGTCTCCCATTAACTGCAATGGGAATATGAACGAATGAGTAAAATCTTTTCAATGATAATTTGAACTGGATGAAATTTACTAGCATGGTTACCCATTTTGAGGGGATGAAGGTTAACCAATTTGCAGAACAGGCAAAAACCTCTGTACAAGGTACATTTAAAGTTTCCACTTGTTTTTGCTTCTAAAGGATCTCTTATTTTCTCTGTGGGTCTTAGAATAATTTGTATAAACACAACACACACTGTATATGGACATGCAGCAACATTTCAAAGGACTAGTTTAGATATTAGGGAGCTTTGTAGAATATGAGCATTTTTGAGTGGAAGTAGTATTAAAAGGAGCACCTCTGCTGCTGATTCTTTTGTATGTTCCTCTCCAAACCACTGTTGTTGTTTTTTAATCTTTTAAGTCGTGTCCGACTCTTCGTGACCCCATGGACCAGAGCACGCCAGGCCCTCCTGTCTTCCACTGCCTCCAAACCACTGTAATTGGAGGTAAAAACTGGAGAGCCTTGATAAAGTCATTTCATCGTTGGAAGCAGAGCTGTCAATCACAAAGCTACAATTCTGTAGAATGAACAATTTTATTTTAAAAATGCTCATTTCATTAAATAAATACAATTATGTCATTGTGTATACATACTTATGGACACAAAAAATGGAGTGAAAATCATAAATACACACACAGCGCAGGTCCAAAAGAATTTGGACTCTGGACATTTAGCAAGTCCTCTAAATGTGATTGAAATCAGAACAAATGTTTGTATTTGCACAGAGTCTTCAGAGAAAAACTTTGTTCTTGGTACATTCAGATTCAAATTATGTCATACATGGAGAGGAAAGTCTGCTCAATACTAGAATAGCATTAAAGTGCTTCAGTAAATTCCTTATCCCACTCCAACAAAAAACATGCTTCAAATAAGTAATTATGTAAAATACGGCATAACTGATTTATAACTATAATCTCTAAGCTTTCACTTGGAGGAATAATGTTTTCTGATTTGCTTTACTAGGCAGGTGCTTTAATATTTGCATCATTTGTTTGACACCAAGGTCTGATTCACAACAGAGACCACATTATAAGCATATTGAACTGTATGTATATGATAGCTGGAATACTGTTCATGTGCATAAGGCTGATAATGTCATCATTTATTCTCTACAATTTGTAATTAAAAGCTTCCCCTGACAGGTTCTGAGGCACTTTCAACCTGGGAAAAACCTTTGGAGCCTTGGGATTTGTGGGAGGCGGGGGAGGATGAGCCATTTATGTCCAAAAATTGCCTCAGCACACACCCTGTCCTGAAGCTCCCAAAGTCTTCCCCAGGCAAAAAGAAATCTCTATGGACCTCAGAACCTGGGGGACTAGGGAAAAATAAACTGTGTCTGACATCATCAAGCTTATACTGTATGCTTAGTGTTGCATGAATGGGAGAAACGTAAAGGCTTGTAGTTTTATACTGAAGAAATTGACAACTTTAAACATCATTTTTAATATTTTATTTTAACCTTTTCCCTGGACTTTTTTATTTCTTTGGTTTCGTTTGTAAACTCTACTTATTATGTTATAGATAGCAGCCATAAGTTGATCAGTGCTATGACACATGGTTTATGTTGTCCATGGCTATGAAAAATTATAGCAGCTATGTAAAAGAGAGTACAGTATTGACTGTTTGCCTGGTTTGGTGATGAGCATAATCAAAGAGAAGGAGTCCCTGCTCACAAGGTTAAATGACAACCCTACACTTTGTGCAGGATTGTTATCTGGGCAATGGCACACACAGCTACAGAATTTGTATGAGCACTGCAGCATCACTGGGCATTTATACATTTTAATGTGCTCCAGATGTCTATCAACACTAAAACATAGACATAAAAATATAACTGGATCATAAAAGGGAAGTTAAAAAAATGACAAACAAAACATTCATTTACATTGCTGAGAGCACTGACCTGAAGAGGCAGAAGCTGTGCTTCTCCACTAGCTATATGACCTTCTAAAACTGTTTTGAGTCAGGAAAGAACTAGTGTCCTATAAAAAGTTTCAGAGTTCTAGCACTTCTCAAAAAACAACAACAACAACAACAACAAAAAAACACCAGCATATAATCATGTACTACATCATAAAATCATTGACTATGAAAGCAAATGAGAATATCATGCATGCTGAGGAGTTTCAGAAGGGTCAAGTCATCTGTAGAATGTGGCCTAAAAACTTGATTACAACAACATGCAAACAAAGCTTTTCCTCCCAGCAAGGAAAGTGAATTGCAATGAGGAAAGGATTGTATTTTTGTCCACACACGCACATGTGCTTTCTCATACACAGCCTCAAGGTACTCTCTAATTTTCAGCCCCGCTGGGCAGGGTTCCGCCTCTCTCTCATGACGTCACACCTGCATGTATGCACAACTCCACCTCCCCCATGCACTGGGTTCTGTCGTGATTGGAACCTAACACAATCACTGTGTGGAGGAGGAAAACAGCCGCACGCAGGGGAGCAGAGACGTGTGCACACGCGTCCAGCTTAGTGAGAACCTTGCACAGCCTCCAACCCCAAACCAGAACTACATAGGGCCCTCGGGGCCAAAAAGGCCATGCCCCGCTTCATAATCTCCTGTGAGACTGTACAGGCTGATTTCCTAGCAGACTGTGGCCTATGAGTTGGTTCTATCTCATTTTGTTGTCCTTACAGATATTCCAAATCCAATGCCTTCTCTGGTGGTAGCCTAACTTATTTTATTTAAATACATTTCATCATCTGCTTATCTACATTAACGAATACTCAAAAACACCCCACAGGTTCTGCAGTAAACAATGTAACATTAAAAGCAAATTACTATATGAAGAGAAGATCTTAGATGGCTAATCCAGAGATCAACACATTTTTACTACCATAACTTCATCCAGTAACATCTTTCACTCAAGACTATTGTTCTCCCTGCATATATCTGAGGCTATTCAAATGCTACTCACCACTCACAACCAGTGCCAGATTTCTGCATCCTCAAAAATGAAAACAGATTATGGTTGTGTTCTTGGTGTTAACCTGTGCTGGTTTTTTGGTTCCTCAAACCTTCGTAACAGAGGAGTGTCAATAAGAAATTATTGGAATGAGGGACAATCCTAATAGAAAATAAGTTCATAGTGTGACCTTCAGTGGAAAGCTGAGGCTTGTTTTGCAGCTGAAAAAGAAACAAACTTACCACTGAATAACACAAAAATCACTTATTTTTCCCCACATATTTCAGATAGACAGTCTTACTTTTGTCATTTTTAAGAGTGCTATATAAGTGTTAATGCTTTTATCTTACCTTTGATTTTCCTATTAATTTAAATGAATTAAATATCCATATACACAGTGTGATTTCAAACTCTAACAATGCTTTCAAACTAGCATACATGCTCAGGAGGGCCAAAATAGTGAAGATATCTAGGGAACCTGGGCTTAGATTCTGAGAGCTATGACAGACAAGTTGCTGTGAACTACACTTGTTCTTATTCACCTATTTTAAATTTCCATCCTGTCAAAATAAGAGGGAAGGCAAGCAAGAAAGGTGAAAGGGAAAGGAGGCCTACTTTTAGGTAAACTCAAGTTTTTTCACACATGTTAAAACAAGACGATACATCTAAATATGGGCAAATTGACTCCACAATATATAACTTTGGGCACATCTACACTAGCTCTTTTGGAGCAGGCTAATGTGGGCTAGATTACTTGGGAGTCGGGTGGAGCTGCAATATGCCATTTGGTACAATCCTTGGATCCATATGGCATATCAGAGCTCAAGCAACCCTATTTGGTCCAGCTCTTTCTGATATTGTGAAGTGGCTTAAGAATGAAGACACTTTATGATATTATAAATTCAAACCAGGAGGAGGCTTGGCAGTCAGGAAATGCTCACTTTTGGTCCATTCCCAGTGAACACACATACTGGAAATGGACCAAAATAGAGCAAATGTACCCTCAAAAAGATGCAGGTAGGACTGCTCTAGGGACGGTTTGGTTTGCTCCAGTGATTACATAGTGCAATCACCAGAAAAAAGGAGCAACAACAAACTGTCCCTGCAGTAGACCAAACAGTGGGACAATTGCCCATCTGATCAAGCTTTGTCTTGCAGAAGGGTCACCTTTGGTAAAGTGCTAAGGTACAGAAATAATACACAAGGCGATATAAATAATACACAAGGCGATATACACAAGGCGATATATCTCTGTACATCAATGTAATACTACAATTAATACCATAGTACTGATTGCACAGCCAGGATAATTTTAGTTGTCTATAGATGTAAGCAACTCATTATTATTTCTACTATATTGTATGACATTTACCAACAATGAACTGCTGAAAGATCAACTTTCCAAACAAATTGTTATTTCAGTCCATTTTTTCTCTCTGAGCAAATCAGGTCATAAGACTTCAATAATTAAAAATAAAATATACTTCTTTACACTGCATAAACACCCTTGGCACTTTTAATGTTTTAATGACACGCTTTCAGCTGTTATGCCACCCAAATGATTGTCTCTATTAAGACAAATGCAGTGAATTTTAGGCTTAATTTTATTTTTCATGTCTAATGTTATAATAAACTGACTAATTCCAGTATTGGGACTAACAGAAGACAGTTCAGTTTTTGTCAAACTGGCTGGCAGAGGGCAGTCTAAGTCTGAGACCAAATAGCCAATCCAGGTTTTCATATACGCCCCATGACTTACAACCAATACATCGGCATCCAGTACTTCAGGAGCACCATTAGAATCAGAATGAAACAGTAATCCACCACCATCTTTTGCTAACAACGTGGTAGAATGTCCTTTTGCCACATCCGGGCCTTTTCTTTCTTTGCTTGCAGAAATTTGCTTTTCTGAACATACTTCACAGGCAATGAGGTTGCAAAGGTGTTCAAAAAAATCATGAGCACGTGCTTTCACCTAAAGCAAGAGGGAAAGAAAAACTAAAATAATTGCAAATATTTTTCTCATTAATTCTTATACATTTAAACTCCTTTCTGTGCACATAAAAAATGTATTCAAATCCTCCCTTCTTCCCCAAACCTCTCTCATTTGTGTAACCTTTGATATAACCCTTCTCTCCTTCAGAGAGAAAGAAATAAAGAAACCAATGCCAGAATTCAAATTATAGCAGTGTAATACCCTGAAAATGAAGGGCCCACACAAGCTAGCTCCTGGTAAGATACGGTAACTTTCACCCACAGAAAGCACTTAACAAAGCATGGAAAATACAATACTCCCTTTTCCTTCACAGAAAGAAAGGATACTTCTATGGTATTCCAGAAGTAAAACTGATCACCTGTATAGATAATCTCCAAGTGGTCAAGTATTAGGAATAACTTCCTTAATGTAGCAGGAAGAACAGGAAGCTAGACTGTAATTATGATTCTTCAAGTAGTTGTCTGTGAACCCACATAAATAAGTCTTGGATTTGCGCAAAGCCACATACGGAACCCCTAGAGCTATGCAGTTTAAGCAGGAACCCAGCTGTACCCTCCATCATGTATTTCATGTTTAAGCATGTCCCGGGTCAAGCCTCTTAGCTCCAGTCCACCATCAAAGAAAAAGCTTTTGGGAAGGAAAGTGGCACACAGTGGTGCCTCAATTTACGACCATAATCCATTCCAGAAGATGGACGTAACTCGAAATGGTAATAAGTCAAAGCACCATTTCCCATAGGAATGCACTGAAATGCAATTAATCTGTTCTGGCCAAAGGAAAAAAAATCACACATAAAAAAAATCACTGCAAGACTAATTCGTAACGCGATTAATCCCTTCCGGCTGGGGGGGGGGAAGCAATCAAGCGTGCAAGACCCATTGGAAAGGCACAGAAAACAAACGGAGCAGATCGGAAATGCACAGAAAGGGGGCAAGTTGGAAATGCAAAGAAAACAAAGGAAAAAGCAAGGGAAGCATGCAGGACCCATCGGAAATGGGGGGAAAACCCCAAAAAGCAACCAAACCCCCCAAGACCCATCGGAAATGGGGGGGGAAGCCAAAAAACAAACAAACCCCCCAAGACCCATCGAAAATGGGGAACCACCCCAAAAAAGCAAGCAACAGCCCCCAAGACCAATCGGAAATGGAGGAAACCCAGAAAAACAAACAAACCCCCAAGACCCATTGGAAATGGGGAAAAAACACTCCAAAAAGCAACAACCCCTCCAAGACCCATCAGAAATGAGGGGAAAAAAACAAAAAAACCCACAAAAAACTCCCCCAAGACCCATTGGAAATCAGGGGGAAGCCAAAAAACAAACCAACCCCCAAGACCCATCAGAAATGGGGAAACCCCCCCAAAAAAGCAACCAACAGACCCCAAGACCTATCGGAAATGGGGGAAAAACCCAAAAAACAAACTCCCCCAAGACCCATTGGAAATGGGGAAAAACATTCCAAAATCAACAAAACCCCCAAGACCCATCGGAAATACAGGGGGACCGACCAAGAAAACAAATAACCCCCCCAAGACCCATCACAGCACAGAAACATAAACCCCCAGCTCAAAACCACACTGCAAAAATACCCAGAACAGTTTTTAAAAAGCAGAAAACAGACCCTGACCTTACTAGGCAGCCCGAAGCCTCCCTGCAAACACACATGTACATGCTCACTTAGAAGCAGAAGGAGGCAGTCCAAAGCCTCCTCTGACCCACACTCTAACTGCTGGGGTGAAAGAGCTACAAAGAAGCAGCCTCATCGCCACCTACAGTTAGAAATTTGAATTTCCTGCCTTTTTTCCCTGCCTTTTTCTGTTCGTAAGTGGAAGCTCCAGTCACAAGTAGAAGGAAAATTTTGCGGCCGGAGCTGGTTGTAACTCGAAATGGTCCTAAGTAGGGACGTTCATAAGTCAAGGCACCATTGTATTTGAGTTTGCAGACAACTACTCCAGTTACAGGTAAGGAACCTATAATAATTTATATTAATAATTTTTGTTGAGGCTCTTAACAACCCCAGTATGAACAAATGGAACCAGCACATCTACTATCACACCTTTGTTGGCACTACAGTAGTTTATACTGTCCTCAGAGCAGGCATACAGAGGGCCTCCTCTGAAACCAGATATTAACAACCTCCAAACACATGATTTTTCTTGAATGCACCTGCATGTGTCTTGTGTACACAGCCCATTCTCCTTTAGCTACCACACACACAGCTACAGGATTCAAGGCATGACTTACTTCAATAAAGGTGGAAAAGCCAAATGATAAGTGTGGTTGGCAGCATATTCACTTACTTCATCTAGTGTTTCTCCCCCAGGAGGTGTAAAAGATGGACATTGTTCCCCAGCAGCTTTTGCCAAGGCCTTGAGATCACTCAGAGGCCTTCCTTCTGCAATTCCATATTTCTGTCAAAAAGAGTAATATATTAAATGATGGTGATGGAATTCAAATGCAGAGCATTTGGGAGGCATTTTGGTTACATCTCTGATAGAAAGGCAGAACATTTCTTAAATGCTACATCATTCTCAACATAAAAAAAAATCCAAAATGGTATACCATAACCAATCTTCAGTCTAGTACTGGCTATTAAAAACTGATCTGCTAAGTAATCACTAGGGGGAGTCTGAAAAGCCACTAAATGTCATGGGTATAAAACAGACTCCAGATATATTTCACCAGGTTTTGCCCCGGCCCTCCCAGTAATTACTGAACTGAAAGTACTGAGACATAGCCTAAAAATGCAGACTTTTAAATACTGTAGCTAGTACCCTCTATACCAAGTACCAGCTGGGACATCTGGCAACCGAACCAGGGATCAGGGGTTCAATCCCCTTTACCTGGTAGAACAACAGCCACATGTACGATCTTGAGCAAGCTACATGGTGCCCCCAAATGAACGGAATGGTAAACCACCTTTGAGTATGCTATATCTAGAAAATCTCAGAAAGAGACGCCATCAGAATCAAAATAATTGCACATAATTTTACAGTACTACCCGCCAACAGTAAATGTTGGGTTCTCCTAAGTTCTGAATTCCAGTGACTTCTGACTACTCTGTTCAAAGCAGAGAGATTATATCTACTTTATGGTGGGCAATTCAAGAGAATCTGGTCTTCATTTACCTCCCTGGGAACTTGCACACCAATCCCTCTCTATGGTCCTATTGATACCCAAACTAATTTTAAAAACTATAGGGCCAAGATGGTCAATTGTACCCTTAGTTTTGAAAAAAAGGCCTCCAAGGGCCTAACTAACAAGTTAAGGGAAGAATGGTCAGAAATGGCCAGTGGTGCCCACAAGTGGTCACTATTGTCAATTTCGGGTCAAATTTTCTTCAGTTTTGGGGGTGAGGTGCTGTGGGCCACAGGGAGCCAGGAGAAAGCATCTGCCTTGTGACTCATACTCTGTCCATCTTTTATTTAGATAATGTAGCAATTATCTACCTAAATAACTAAAAGCAGTCCACAGAACCATAGAATCATGAAATTAGAAGGGGCCTATAAAGCCATCAAGTCCAACCCCCTGCGCAGTGCAGGAATATAAATCAAAGGATATCTGCCAAGTGGTTATCTAAATTTCTCTTGAATGCCTCTAGTGTTGGAGCACTCACCACCTCTCGAGGTAATTGGTTCCATTGCTGTATTGCTCAAAGTGCTTCATCAAGCTACATGGTTTGTAACTGATGTTGTAATCCTGTGCAACTGAAAGGAGGAACCTGTGGTCCTCTGGATGTTGTTATTCACCTTCAGTTCTCATATCTGAATGGAGAAAGGCTGTCCATCCCCGCTATATACACCTCCCTGGGTGTATGACTAGTTGAACTCAGTGCAATGTAAATTTTGGTAGATGTGTGTAGGACGGTGCTGAAACAAGCCCAACGAATTGAAGGAATGACAATCATGTTAAAAAGAGAATTTGTCATTATGAATTCCTTCTCCAAAGCAGCATTTGTGAAGAACCTTGGCCTTCAGTCAATAAGGAAACAAAAAGAGTTCAGAGTCAGAAATTGTGTTAAATCTGGCTATAATCTTCTCAGTCTATAATTCTGGTAATGGGATTCCAAATTTTTCTAGTGGCTTCTTAAAGCAAATTCTTTAAAAGTTATCATTTCTGCATCCTCATGTAAAGGCAGGAATCATTCACACATGATTTCTGATAAAGCCACAGAGGAGGGCAGGGGGAGCCCAGGATTTATTGGAAATCCATATGTGGATTTATTTTAGCTAATATATTTGTATACAACTGTTCTGCTGAGGCAATCAGAGGACTGTGCATTTAAAAACACTAACATTAAAAAAAAATACAAAAAGAACAAAGTCTTAGAATGATTAAATCTCTCCTCTGAGGCCAAAGGCATGAGCTGCTTTGCCTTAGTTTCCTCATTATTATTTTTGCTCAGGACACAAGCAACCCTGGGGAAAGTTAAGGCAGGCAGCAGCATAGGCTTAAGTTCATGGTCCTTCAGCAAGTGACGGGATGAAATCTTACACTGTAATAGATACATTTGTCTTGAGAATTGCACAAGACAGGTTTTTCATGATTCTCATGATTCTATAGAGAAAATGGAAATAATTTTTATAACTTACTCGTTCCCGAAGTCTTTCATCATATTTTACAGCAATCTCTTTGCAGAATTGACTGTTTCTAAGAATTGAGTCAGTTGTCTGAAACAATAAGCATGCAATTCATGTTTTTAAAAATATAGGTATTATTTAGGCTACTTATTTCTGGAAATAAATTCAACATTCAAAGATTTTTAAAAATTCAGTGTCTGCATATACTTTGCATACTTTTGGGAATATATAAAACAAAAAACACTACTTTGACATTAGGGGATTTTTTTGTTGTTGTTGTTATGAGGAGGAGAAGGAAGAGGTGGTGGAGGAGAAATGTACAGTGGAGTCTCGACTTACGTAAGGCTCCACTTACGTACTTTTCGACCTGTGTAATTCTCCGGCTGCACAGTTTCACTTTGACTTGTGGCCGGAGAATCGACCTACGGACAAGAAGAGGGAGGCATGAAAAGTGCCAAATTCAAATTTGGCACTTTCCCCACCTCCCCCTTCCAGTCCGTAGGCCGCGGATTTGCCTCCG